TGACTGCTCTTCTGATTCATCACTGACCTGAACTCCATTTGAACCTTGTTAGACACAAAACAAGCAGGATTCCTGGCCTGAGCTATAAAATATAATTAAGCCCTTTTGAAATTATGTGTAAAAGAACATAGCTTTACCCCCACTATAACTACTACCACCACCACAACCAATAAAGTTAAATCAAGCACTGCCTGTAATGGATTAAAATAATAAATGTTCCTGGATTTTAGTGTTTGAAGTATTTGAAGAAAACAGGCTCCCAGCAGCCAGGACTGCTGAATGCATGGGGACATTTATTAGTGACGAATTCAAGGGTTTGGCCTGTTTAAGATCATTACATTCTGTTTACCGTGTGTTACACATCTCATGTTTTTACGGAGTCCATATGTGTCCCTATGTAATTCTGAAAAACTCTTTCACTAAAGAATAGTTAATTGGTAATGTGTAAATATTGTTCTCATGGGGAGAATGAACTATCATAAGATTCAGCTCAACACTAATGAAAAATCCAGTACGGTCAGTGTATTGTTAACTAAACCTTTCCTGGAAAATTGTCCTTTACTACATCTCACCATTTGTTTGCTACTACTGTTTCCAGGCTTGAATAAATTGGCTGACTCTTAAATTAACTGCAGTATTTCTGCTGTAATTATTTTCGTAGCTTTGTTACCCTTTCTTCTCAGACACTGCTTCATAGAGGATACCTGTCAACAGAGCAGTGTAACTTAAGTAGAAATACTCAATACTTGCTGTATCTGAAGTTTCCTTAGGAGGAAAAAAAAAAATCGCATAGATAAATGTATCAATATATTAGCTATAATAGCATATTTACATATTAAAAGCTTAGTATCTTTGGCAACTTTAGCTACTGAAGTTGCAGATGAGAAGAGTGAACACCCAGAAGCAAGAATTATCACCTTAGTAATGTGTGACATGAAAGCAGAAGGCAGTAAGGAAAACCACTTGCTAATATACCTTCAGCAGCCAGATTGTATCTCTGCCACCCAGGCATGGAGGGCCCATGGGAGAGCCTGGACTTCAGAGTGCGCAGCGACCTTTTGGGTGGGAATGAAGTTTCCCAGCTGCTGCAGTTAGTGCAGACCACATCACTTGCGTGCATCTTGCCCAGTGGGAAACAGCTTGCCCGGCTCTGTGCTCTGGGATGCAGGCTTGCTTCTGAGCTGCCCCAAACTTAGAAAAACAGTTTTCTTCCTAGCACTGCAAAGCTAATATCTTCAAGAGACTTTTTAAAAGATAGCTTGACTGTAGCCCAGCACCATTTCCTATATTTATTGTATGTTTTTCCATTTTCTTAAAACTCTTTTCCCATACCGAAGCTTCCCAATTACAGTCATGCTCTGCGTTGTATTAGGTGACAATGCAGTGAACCAAACAGGATTGGCAGCTATCTAAGGAAGAGCAAATGCACAGAGCATAGTAGAAGGGGAAAAACTCCGGCTGCATTTCTACTTGTTTCATTTGGAGTTGGTTCAAATATCAGTATTAAAATATTTTTGAAAACAGTCTGTAATGTCAAAACATTGTCTGTCCCTTTGTCTATGAGCCGGAAAAAGTAACAGAACTCTTTCTTAACACCTGTTTTGCCTAAAGACTGAGTGGTTGTTACTTTAAGGCAAGGGTTGTTTTAATGCATTTGCTGCATCTATTAACATTGATCAGCTCTTTTTTTTTTCAATACGCACAAATGAATTTATGCACACAAAGCAGTTTAACAAATGGAGCCTCCTGTTATTGATAAGCGCTATCATATATAAACCCTAATACAACTATATTTATAACTCTATTAGGGTACTCATATTCTGTGAGATGCCTTTGGAAATGTTAGCATAAATCAAGTCTCTACTGCCTAAAAAAAAAGATGTTAGAGTATCAAAGCAGTGTTTTCTTTTAGTGAATTTTCTTCACTATTCTATTGTAATGATACACATCTTTAATTTCCAATCAAGTTAATTTCTTGACATTACCAAGCAAGTACTTTTTTTCAAACCCTCCTACATTATTTCCAGCTGATTAAAATACCTGGATATTCCTTTTGCCCATATGTCATCATAAATTCTTCCAATGGCCTGTAGAAGCCTGGTGTAAATTGCATTTTGCTCAGTTAGCGTGGCAGCACACTGTGATGCTGCTGTGGGTCTGGGTGGAGGCTGACAACAGAGGGCTGGCAGCATTTTTTAAACACTGTCCAAAGCAAGTGCTTCATATTTATTAGTCTCTTGGAGGAGTATTTTAAAAGTCATGAAACTGTTTGTTCCTAGAAGTAAATTATTGCACGTACTGGAAAGTGCGTTGGTGCTTGTGAACAGTAATCCAAACAGAACAAGTTAACTTTCACATATGACAGCAATCGTTTATGAAGATGTATTACTTCTATATGGTGCCATCTCAAGTTCATTTCAGATGGAGACTTTCATTTAATCTGTTTAAACTGAAGTTAGAATTCTACAATAGAAGTTTGTGAGAGATGCAGAAAAGGAGACTGAAAATAGTGTGGGGGAGGGAAAAAAACAGAATAGTTTTGCATCTTTTGCTTTCTGAGATCATTGCTTTAGTCATAGGAAAGCAACTTCACTAACTGAGTATATACTTTCAATGTTAGTATGGCATTTAGCAATGTTAAAATAAGCTCCTTCCTAGAATGGTGATGTGATTCTTGCCTCTACAAGAGCAATCTGGGTTGCAACAAGAAAAAGAAAAAAGCTCTTACTGAATCCCCAAACTTTTCCTGGAATTTGTATGTCACAGTCCAACGTGTGTCTTGTAATATCTTATTTATTTAAAATTTACCAACACTTCCTTATTTTTAATTGTGTCTACATTTATCATTGTTTGCATGGCATTTGAGAAAGGCAGTGCTGATTTTGAACCAGCAGTATTATGTGCTCAGTTTTGTTTCTAAGCCACTGGATGTTGTGTTTTCTTTGTACTTTGTGGAGCGGAGATGACAACAGAAAAAGACTGCAAAGTATAATCCTTCCAAGTGTAATCCCAGTGAAAGAAAACATAAATAAAACCACTTGTATTCTGGCATTCCTTTTTCCCTTTTGTTATTTCTGTAACTTGGCACGTATTCCAATAAAACTATAGAACATTTCTGTATATTGCAGAATTGTGCAATAGTTACTGAGAATTTCTCCTCTTTAAAATCAAAATTCTGTGTACAGTATATCAAAACAATTAATTTCCAAATATTGTACTGCCTCTTAAAATGACTGGACTGAGCATAGCAGGGTGAAGGTGAGCCCTTCCTGTAAAGGGCTTCCTCTTTTTTCTTTCAGTTTAAGACTGTTTGGGAAGGTGCTTCAATCCACAGTTTACAGAATCAAGTCTGAACTAATACCAAAAGGAGAGGTGTCAGGGGGTGCTGATGTTAAGTTTTCTTGATTGTCGCTGAAGTTCAGTGTCAAAAAAAGACTGAACAGATTTTGTCATACAGACCTGTTTCACATGAGACCAGATGCGGGGGTTCAGAAGCCAACCTAAATAGCCCAGAGCTAAAGCCCCTTTCCCAATCATTGACAGCAGTCCTGTTGATCGTCATAGGATGAAGTTTTGCTCAAGCCCTTGATTCATACTGAACTCTAAACTGCTCAAGGGGGAGCTGCTTCTTTTTTGTGGTTCCTACTCAGGGTGGATGCAATTCAGTGCCATTATCGCTATAGGGACTGTTGCACCAACTTCCTAGTAGATGCTGGGTTTAAAAAAAAAAAAAAAAAAAAAGAGGGAGAGAAAAATGCAATATATTTCATCACGATATATTTCTTGGTATTATGAAAGCGTAACTCCTGTCACTTCTGGATTCCAGGAGAGATTTGTAGGCGTTTTACTGCATGTATTCAAAACAATGAGTTGTGTTTCTGTGGGATTTTTCTAGCGGAAAAAGTGTGAAAATATGAAATGGGACTGTACCTTGAAAAATCTGCATGTAAGCCTTAGGTGTGTTTTAATCTTTTGCCTTTTGTGAATAATCGTGTTTCATTAGAAAAATAAGCTGTGGGCATTGTAAAGTATGGTGACATTCAGTATTCAGTCTTGAGTCAAAGTACGAGCACCAGAAAACAAAAAAGTTAACCCAAACTTGATTCATGCAAATATACAAAAGAAATACAGATATATTGTGTTTTGTTTTATTAAACAGTGATTTGCAGTAAGTTAAATTCACAAGAGATCTGACATTTCTAGATCGTGTTTCTTTCTTAAAATATTTGTATCTAATGAGAGTATATAAGTTCTGTCAGAAATCTAACCTGCCTTTATCATTTTGTGTTTTATAAAGCTATGTAAAGTGCAAGTGATCACGATGTGAAAAGTTTAGATTAAATGGGTTTTTTTTTTGTAAACACACATTATAGATCTTGAGTTACAGTAATTGTTTTGAATTATTTAAATTCAAACATTACCCTTATTCTCCTGCTCAGCTCTCTAAAGTCTGGCAAGGCAATATTTTATAATAACTAACCTGAACAAAAGCAGAGAGAATCATTAAAAATAGCTTTTTCCTATCAGTTTAAAATATAATCAAGTGAATCAGCTGTTCTTGTTCTTAATGTATTCTTTCTCAAAAAAAAAATCATAGTTTACTGAAAAATGTCTCTTCTCATAAACCTTAAAATACACACGTAAAAAGTCATGATGTTTTGGCAAATGTCTCTATGTAAGGAATGCGCATGAGACATACCTGCTTCATAACTGCAGCACCATATAAAGTATTCTTAATAGGATTGGAAGACAGAAGCTAAAATAAACCAAATAAAATTTATAAAATCACAAGTCCTGTGGCCCAAATGTGATGCCCTCACTTGGAGAGGAGAGCAATTGCTCACAGAACAATTTCCATGGAAGTCAGTGGGACTAATTGAGCGCCTAATTTCTTGTGGGCAGAGATTCCCTGGCTCATGGTAAAGTGTATTCAGGAAATAAACACATGAATGTTGGGAGAATAGCTACGAGCGGCATTAATTGTCTTTCTGTCTTTTTAGGAATCCATGGATCGTCTTTCGTCCTTGACATAAAAGATTTCCTACTTAAAACAAGTCTCAAAGAAAGAGCCAGGTCTCTGGTGGGCCCTTTCTGCTGCTCAGTTAATGTGGAAGCCAAGTGGTGTAAACACAGTGGTGATCCTGGCCCGGAGCAGTCTATTCCAAAAATATACATCGATCTGAGAGGAGGACTGCTGCAGGTCTGTATAAGCTGCTTATGGTTCTGCTGTTGAACTGTACTGGCTTTGGGTGATTGAGATTTTATGAATAAATTTCATGAAATATTCATAAATAAATTGCAGGTTACAACAGTTCCTTGGGTTGGTGGGGTTTATTTAACCTTTTAAAATAAGTATCTGTTCTTTCATGTAAAACTGTTGATTGAAAAATTGTGTACAATGTTTTGGGTTTGTTTTCTCTTAATACTGCTTAAGTCATGTATTGTAGCTGTATGTGTGTGTTCCCTTTAAACTACTGGGTCAAATTACTAACACTTAATATCTAGGACCCTGTTCTGTTATGTGTGTGTTTGTCTATGAGCTATGCATCTGTAATGCTTTGGGGTAGCTTTAAGAAATACGTATCCTTTCTTTTTAAACTTACACCAATTTCTCATTGGGAGTAATTATAAGCTGTTGTTTGTAGCAATTAATACTCAGTTTTCCATGATATCCTCTCCTTTTTGGAAGTCCCCACAACTTGAAATCAGTCCAAGAAGTGTGGGAGTTCTGGAAATGAAAAATAGATTCTGTGAGGCTTAAACAAGTGGGCTTTAAGATATGTCTTTTTTTAATTATTTTTATTGTAGTATCTATACACACCAAATGTTTAAAAATAAATATATAAATCAAGCATATAAAAGACAAAAAGGCAATTTTGACATTTACTTGTGTCGTTAGGTCTTTTCCCAGAATTGGCATTAAAAGTTCCTAAAACCACAGCCCTGGGAATAGGGATAATTGAATAATATACATTTTTAAAAACTGTATCTTTAAAGTCAGTTTGTTTCTCTTCTTCTTTTTTATTTGTTATTTACAGGTACTTGGCTGACTAGATCTACTTGTTGTTAATAATAAAGTGTTGGGGGGTTTTATCCCAAAATAGTGGGGATTTGATGAGGAACAGAAAAATATCTATAAACCTGAGATAGCCCTTTACTATTAGAGCATACACTGGGGTAATTAGCTTTTGAAGAAAACTTTTAAGTATTTGGTCTGGCAGAATAAATTTGAGAATGCTGACAAAAGCATTAGCAATTCTGTTTCAAATTAATTTATTTAATGATATTACCAGCTCTAAATGTGACCTCATCTTCTACCACTGTTAATTTGTATTGCAGCCGAGCCTAGAGAAGGTACGTGAAATCGGTGCCTCATCTGTGAATGTTGTGGCAGGAGTTCCATGCTCTGGAGTTCCAGCTGCCTAAAAATAAAATTAACAGAAGTGGGAGAGAAAAAGCATTCCTCCCTCCTCTGTCAGTTGGGGACTGAGGCCCCTGAGATGAGCTTAAGTGACACGGGGCTCCTTTGAGGTGGTACTCAACCAAGGGTGGGACCCTGAGCTTGGACGTACTCAGAAAATGCAGTTGAGGGACTAAATTCGTGCCCTAGTAGCCCAGGAGTGTTTAGCTCAGGACTGGCTGTTTAGCTCTGTTTCAAGAGTCTTTGTTCTGAAACAAGGGGGCCCAAAATCACAAAATGGAATATAGAAACCTTTACAATTCGATTTAAGTAATGTTAAGTTTGATGGCTTGGTAACAGTAGCAATGGAAAATTACTGAGGTGCATGATACATAGAGAAAAAAAAATAGAGTACAGCTAGAGAACATACTGAGAATTCTCATGCGATAAATCGTTATAGTTCTTATAGTTGTGACATAGTTTAAGAAAAACAGCCTAGAAAAACAGGACACGGGGATAAGGAGTATCTGGGAACCGCAGGTGTCCAGGATGGGCTACAGTCAAACTAACTGATAAGTAGGAAGATTATTATGTCTCTGGTGCTAACAAACCCGTTAAACTGGTGTGAGCATCTACTGTGCATGCTTCAAAGGCTGCCAGAAGTGATGAAGATTGTTGGAAGAAGTAAATGACCCTCAGAGACCACCACCACAATTCTGTACGCATGCGGGGAACTTTCTGGAAAATTATGTAATCCATACGTAGCCTTATGAATATGTATGCATGCCCAGTGGCTATAAAAGGACAGCTTGTGTGGCAATGGGGAGACACACGTTAGGAGGAGCTATCCCCCGTGTCTCCCGGCACCACAATAAAGAATACCTGCTTGTCAGCTTGAAAACTTTGTTGGCGAGTTTGTTCCTGGAGTTTTCTCCGGATCAGTTCCATGGGCTCACATGTATATGCAGGGGAAGGAAACACTTCCTTTGTGACAGACTTACTACACTCCCTTTAGGCATCTTCTGAATTGTTTTTCATATTTGAATATTTGCGCTGCTCTTTATGTGCACACCTGACCTGTTTACTTTACTCCTACCCATACCATGGACTTCTGAGTTGCTGTCTGATTATTTTTATTTGATCCCACGCTGGTGCTAATTCTTATTTCTTTATTAATTGCTAGTTGCTTCCTTGTCTTCCCTGTTGCTTCTGGGCCCACTCCTGCACATGACGACTAAGGGACTAGTCTCTGTTAATGTGATTCTCTCAAACAGGAGTTTGATTTCAGAAGAGCAATGCTGCTTCTAAAAGCGGGGGGAGAGGGATGTCTACTTCCCTTATTATTTTGCTGTAAAGTGTATGAACCTTCTGGACTTTAAATGCCACTTTTTATTAAATATTTTTCTAAATTTTACAGCTTCAGAACTTTACACTTTTAAACCTCATTGTGAGAACTTTCAGTACATCCCATTCATATGTTGTATATATACTCAGTATTTGTGGTTTAGACGATCTTTTGTACGTCGTTCTAGTCATCTTCTTGCCATTTCACTTAGATTTTAATGCATTCCAGAATTCCACTTTTGGACAAATAAGCTCTTTGAACAGCTTAAAGTTTGCATCTTTAAGGCTTTTGTGTCATAATCTTAAACTGCAAAACTTGTGACCAGTCCTAGCATTATGTACTGCACTCAGCTGTAAGTTCTTGCATATGACTTCTAAGGTCTGTGCTCTTCCAGGCAGCAACAGTATCAGTTGTAAGTGGTAATAATTAATACTTTCCTTTGACCGATGAAAAGAACAAATTTGCCAAATGGCTCTGTAGAGATTTTTTGTTGTTCCTGTTCTTTATCTTCATACTAAGGATACTTGCAAGCAATTGAGGTATAGGGAGAACAGTATGAAAGATAGATAAAGTTTATATTGGTTTGGGGAGGGTTTTTTCTGTCAAAAATGACTAAATATTTGTATGTAATTGTTTTATCTTTTTCTTTTCTATTCTTCTCCATTTTTTTTTTTTTTTTTTTTTTTTTTTAGGTTTTCTGGGGTCAGGAGCATTTGAACTGTTTAGTTCTTCTCCAGGACCTTCTGTGGCAGTACCTCAATAAAAAGGGCAGTGTAGAAAAATTGATACCTAAGCATACACACCCCACGTGTTTTTCTATGGAAAGGAATCAGGCCTCAAAAACTGAGCATACCTTGGATGATCTGAGAACTGGCCTGTTCCAGTATATACAAGATGCAGGTAAGAAGGAAATTATTGCTCTCGTGTTTTTTTTTTCTTTCTTTTTTTATTTTAAAATAAATACAGTAGTAATCTACTAAAGATTATTTGCCTCTTACAGCAAATAACTTTATGGCTTTTGGAAGAGCAGTTGAAAAGACATCTGCTAGAATTAAAAAGAAAAATACTTTTTTGATTTCTTTCCATTAAGCCGTAATCTTTTAAAAGTCAGGGAAATTGCTTTTTTATTTTCTCTCCTTTTGATCCTGAGGGGTTTATTTTTAACTACTTTGGTCTCATAAACCAGCATGCTTCTATCTAGAAATTATATAACAGATTATAGCTTTCTTTCATTTTACAGAAGCACAAAAACTGCCTGGTGCCTACGAAGTTGTGTTTTACAGTGAAACTGAGGATAGTCCAGGGATGATGCTGTGGAGGTATCCAGAACCCAGAGTGCTCACTCTTGTAAGAATTAACCCTGTTCCTTTTAATACCACTGAAGACCCAGATATTAGCATTGCTGACCTTGGAGATGTTCTTCAGGTGAGTAATGACAGTTTTCTTCTTTTATTAACAAAAGAAAACATTACTGCTGTAAAGTGAAAATTTTCAAACTTGGGTTTGTTAACAATGAGCACAAAACAAATCTGGGGAGCTCTGTAAAATCACTAGGAGGTAAATTCCACAGCTTGAGCACATCTTTGGTTTTCAAACTACTTGTGCAAACATTTTAATCACTTACCTGTAACGTTCTTCCGTGGCATAAGCTATAGCCAAATTTACAACTTCTGGTTTGCAAGCATATAGAGTTTTTATTCTGGCTTCCTGTGGTTTCATCCATCAGTCTTTAGAGACTTCATTTGATTTGAAACTGAAAAATTTGAGGAATGACCTGGTCTGAAATCGCCAGGACTCAGTGAAATCATTGAACTTAAATCTCCAATCCAGCCCTCCTCTCATGTCTCCACGGTGACAGGTGGCTGTCCTTCTTCTAGTAAGATCTGTGGCGTAGAAAGAAACAATCTGTTTTCTCTCATTCTGCTTTGAGAGGGTTGAAGTGGGCTTCAGTTTGACTGTGTGAGATCATGGAACTGGCCTTCAGAGAAGGGCTGAGTGCTGCAGCTGTGTGACTCTATGCCCAGAAAATAGACCATAACTCAAAATTGCAGTTATCTTTAACTCTGAGAATTTTTGCTTTCACTTTCCAAAGCTACATTCTCTCCTGTTTAGTGTAATTCATCTTTATAAATTCTCTTACTCTTTGCATAGCTATTTTGATTTTAGCTCAATTTTAATTTTGTTAATCTCAGATTCTTTTTTTGTATTACAAATTTGGTCTATCACTTTATTTTTATTTCAGTCTGCCGGTTAGTCTGAATAGTGTTGTGAGTCAAGGGAAATAAGCATCTCCCAGTTCTTCCTATTTGTTCAGAAATCTTGAATTATATTTCATTTTTGCTATAACATTAAAAATTGCTTTTAAAATTGAATTATGCACCAATATGCTTTGAGTTATGGATAAGTAGGATAATCTTCCTCAGATAAATGGTATAATGTTATTACCGTGCACATACAGTTAGTGAGATCATGTAAGTGTCCTGCCAATTTCTTTGCCCTCTAGACAGTCAAATGTCAGCTCCTTTTAGTTATATGAAAATTAAAATTAAGTGGAAAAAAATCAGCACCACTTGGCATGAGGTTTGAATCAAAGATCAAAATTGTGTTATGGTATGCTGTCTTGATGACCCTATTAGGTCGCTATGAAAGCCATCAGTTTACCTTCTTTCAGTATGGTGTTTTCAGAGCACAGCACACCAAATTTTTGGTATAATTACATTACGCTTCCGTTATAGATAACAGACATCATGTGCATAATGTACGTGCTTGTGTAATAGTATGACCCTGTATAGGGGTAACATCGGTCCTTAAAGTGGGCATCCACAGCTGGATTTCTACTGTCACACCCGTCCTGCTGCTTTGTACTTCCATGCCATGGTCTAGAGAAGAGAAGGTGGTCGTAGTCATCTTTCATTTCACCTGTGATTGCCTTGGACAGTAAGACAGAAACTGGAAAGCACTCAGCTATCAGTGTTCAGGTTCTGTCAGCTTCTACTGGTCTTCATGTAATTGTTCAGATTTGCATTTAATCTTATACAGTGACCATAGAGAACTATTTCCTTTAGTCTTGTTTTAGATTTGTGGTCAGGCGTTCCTGTATACCTTCTCTCCATAATGCTTTTTACTGCGGCACACTTTCTTCTTAAGGTCTGTCAATTTTATGACTGATTAATTCGTAGTCTTATATTACTACCTTGGACTTTTTAGTTACAAGGAAGAGATGAAGGATGTCAGCCAAATTAGAGGACATCTATTTAAAAACTGTGATTTGGGGCACACAGAGTGCAGAAATGCCTGCAAGACGATCCATATTTTGGTAGTGGGCCATTAATTATGGCAATAACTGTTGCCTGGTTCTAGGTGGTGATTTATCATATTTTCCAGAAATGGCCATGCACCTACACAGAGCAGCTCTGCACAGTGTTTATAAACAGACATTTTAAATGTGGACAGTATGCATTCTTCTAGTAGTCTAACATAGATGGATGGAATAAGTAATATGGAGTTGATTTTCAAATTCTTTGGGTAAACTGCATTTACGAAATATCACAGTCTTTAGATTCTGTTTTATTCAGGAAGTCTTTTGTCAGCTCCACTTTTTTCCCCATATGGATATATGTCTGTTTCTTTAGCGCATATGGAAAATTCACAAAATATAAAAAAGACAAAACAACACTTTTATTCACTTTGTGACATGAACCATTAGATGAACATCTGCAAGCCGGAGACTTCAACTGTTTTGAAAAAAGGTTCCGAATTTAAATACAATGATAACGTAGTACATTAAAAATACATTTTAAAACTTTCCCTGGATTGTGTATATGTTCAAATGCTAAGAGGACCCATAATGTCACCAGCTGTGTTACCAGTTTCCCTCAGTCTTTTAATTTGCATAAACACAGGCAAAGGTGCACTTCATAGTTTGTCTTGATTTAGAAGTTTGCCAGTTACATGTTCTTTTTTTTTTTGAGTAAGTTGCTGTGACATTTCATCAAGCTATCTTTGTTAAACTTTAGCCATATAGTTTTATTCATGGGTAGGTTTTAGAAATTGCTTTGCTTTGATAGCTATTAAATTCCTGAAAATTGCAAAAGCATCACCATAAAAAGAATTTCTCTAGATATTGAAGTTGCTTGTCATCTGCTGTATAAGTGAACAGCTTCAGATTATAGGAGTTGATGTAAGATATATTTCTCTTAACCTTACCTTGCTGCTATCTCTAGATTGTCCCAAGAGCTTATTCTTGTCCTTTTACTTGTGTTGTTGCAAAGATGTTTCACTGATTGAGTTGGTAATGCTATTTTACAATCCCAACATTGTTGCTTTTATTTGTGAAGGGAAAAAAGCAACTGATGCTTCTGCCATGGCACAGCATGTTGCGTTTTCTTTACTGATTTGAAATAGAAGTTTGATCTATTTGTTTAAAGGAAGTGAGAGAGAATTCTAAATGCACTTGTAAGAAACTACATAAGGATTGTGTTTCTTTTGGGAGATTGAGTATCTGAACTTGTTCTCCCTGATTACCAGACATTGCAACCCCATTCTATTTAATTTTTCTTCCCTTATTGTCCCGTTTGCAAATGCTGCAAATGCTACAAATGTTCTTTGGCTCTCCGTGATTTATCCTTCTTGAAAACACCTTTAGACTTCCGTGGTACCTCTTCCTACATCACTGCCAAGATCTGTTCTGAATATGCCTTCTCAAAGTTTATGTGGTAATATTTGCAAGTTCTTAGTAATGAAGGATATACACGGGCATTATTTTCAGAACACAAAATCAATTAAGTAAAGCAAAAAACAATTTGACACTGTGCTTGTGGGTGCAACCTTGTGTAGCTAACTGGGAACAGAAGTTAATACTGCGTTCTCTAGAAAGAGATGTGGTATTGATGTAGAATATTCCTTAGTCTTCTAAACTGACTATCTTTCTAGTTCCTTGATCAAAACTATCAACTCTTGTCTGTTCTACCAGTTTTCTTTTTTATTTCTACTAATGATTGCCTGTGTTCCAAGTTGTGAGATTTTTTTGGTTGGTGTTTAGAAAGCTCTAAATAGAGCTAAATATCTTCGTAAAGATCAATGTGAGGTGGAGTATACACACGAGCAGTAGTTTCATGTTCTTACCAGAAGAAAAAGTAAATAGGCTGCATTTTGTCCAAGTTATGTGATTAATACTGCTGTAAGCCACCTCTGGTGTACCCCTTGCATAAGGGGCATCTACCGAAAAGAAAGACCTTCAAACAGGAACTCAAATCTTAGTAAAGGCATGCCCTTTTGATCTTGACTGCTGCTAAGATTATTTTTAAAATACATCAAGAAGAAAAAGTGTGTTCCACTGATAACTTTACTTAAGACAGCGCACCTTTCTTAAGAGTGAAGTTAATTCCAGTGCTGACTTCATCTAATATCAATGTAAAGCAGGGTAATCCATTACTGCCCAAATCAGCAAGGGCAAAGGGTGGAACAGTGTTGATGTGAGAATCATATTCACACCATAGGAGCAGAGGAAAGTCCAAACCTGGAAAAAAATTCAAAAAATTAATTCAAAAGGTAATAAGCAAGATGAAATATCAATGCCATTAATTTAAAATATTGAAGATTTATATTGGTGCATCAAAAGGGATGCTCTCTGAGACTTTCTCAGTTACAGCAGGTGAAACTTTTACTTGATTCAAGTAAATTACTGCTAAGAGAAAGTCTTGGGTTGAAGATATGTGGATAAGCAAGTTTAAAAGCCTATTTTATTATGTACTTACAGAAATTATGCACACAAAACCAGGGAGACAAAGCCTACTGTTCTTGCTCCAAAAGTTAGTGTTACTTTTAGGGCACTCTCTTATGCAGATAGTGTCTATAGCAAAAATTGTGCAAAAGGTCTGTTATTTGCTCTGTGATGTCCTTGTTCCATAGCAGTTAAAAGTTGGAATCTGTTGGTAGTGATGATTCTCATTCTTGTGAATCTGTGCATAAAATGTCTTCCCCTGAGGACTTTGAAGCCTGGTAATAGCCTTCAAGGAAAATATGATTTTTATGGCATATGATGACTTTAAAATTGTACAGATACAGTATCGAGTTAACTATATTTAGGTGTTTAAGCTCAAAGAAAGTGCTGTTGGGTATCTTTGCCATGGAGCTTAAAACTGTACTTGCATTATGCACTTAGTTTCTTCCTGTGTCTTCCTGCATTCTGAGAACCTCAGATTTACATTTGCCTTCATCTCTGGTTAGCCTATGTTGGTTTACTTTTCTCATTTCATCTGGGCCACGTATTTATATCATTTATCTTTACCAAGAATGAGGTCGACAAGTTTGGGTTGGCAGGAGAGAGACCTCAGCAAAATAGGAAAATAATTTCTGTAATGTCAGGGAATTGTTCTTCTTTTCTGTTCAGGCAGATGAACAGGACATGCAAATGATTTTCTGTG